AACGTTGGACGCTTTGTCTGGCGCGTATGCCTCCGTGACCAGAGAAGAGAGGCGGCGATGGAAGATGAAGATATACTAAATGCGATGCGATGTATCATAAAGATGGCTTACGAAACTGAGAAGCAATACTGCTGTGAATCTCGCACAAGAATTGGAGAATACGCCCTTTCTGATTCTATACTAAGTTATTCGAATCAATCACATAGAAAAACAATCCCTTCGGAAAATCCATCTTGAAGATTATTTCAAGAAATATCACCGGCAGGAAACAGGAAAAATAAACTGAAGATATGAACGTGCACCATTTAAAACGAATCTATTTGCAAGGTTGGACAGCTTGTTGTTCCATTCAAGACAATAATGCACTGCAGGTGCTCAAATACCGTGGAGCTGAGTACTGATTGAATGCCACTTAAGCAATTAGAAGCAAGAAAATTATCCAGTATTCTGTGCATCCGGTCCTGGAGCAGTTAGGTTTTGTTATGGTATATGAATCCAAATTAGTGTTTACCAAACTAACGTTGAAGTCAACTTTTACTCCCTGAATCAGGGCAAATCAGGTGAAAACGGGCTTACTCCAATTAGTCACACACATACACACATACTCTGCATCACGCTTGTCCTATCCTGTGGGCAAAATTATGCATTATAAAGGCAGTCAACGTACAGCGAGGCAAGCCTCTGTAAAACTGTTGGCAAGTACAGAACGGCAACTGAAAACAGTTTAGTAAACTCACATGAAACTATCAACGATATACTCGCGAACAAATATTTCTTCATAGTTTTGAAGCATCAGCCAGTGCGAATGGCGACCCTAAGCAGGAATGAGTGTGGAACCCACCCCACCCCAAAAACACTACCATTTCACGCTTACCAATTTGATTAAATTCACAAACAGCACACTGTGTTTTCGCACGATATTGAACGATTGACAGCAAAGGTCCACGAACTCTTGAAAATAAGCCGTTTTGTCGGTCTGGCCCGCGTTAATCGCGTAGAACATGTCACTGGTCAACAGGAACGGCACACGATCGCTGAAATGAAACAGAAACAACGATGTGTTTTATTGGCTAGCCGTAGCGCGAACGCATACCGTCTGAAAGAACCGAACATCTGCGCATCGCCCAGGTATTTGCCAAAATCGATGTGGAACAAGTGCCCCCTGGGCGTAATCAAAATATTGTCGTTATGCCGATCACAAACACCCAAAATATAGGTTCCAACGCACCAGCCCGCGCAAGAACCGCGGAAGTTTCTCAACGCCTAAAAAGCTATGAGGCTGTAGTACGGAGTCAAACAGAGAGCAAAGATATGCATGTGTTACAATTTCGTAGTCCAACTCTGACGAGTTTTGTTTTTGTAGCCACCGCTTGATCAAATCGTCCCGCAACACACCAGCAACACCACCTTCTTCGAGTTGAATTTCCCTCAGAGTTTTCGAATCCTTCATTACTTCCAAAATTCCTGAAATAAAACAGACAAAATAAAAAAAATTCCTTCAACTCAGTAAGTAAAATCATTCAACGAAAATCAGCTTAAAGAAAACATTTTTTGTATGCACCAAAACTACACGTATGCCACATTTGCAGAGAACAGAGTAACTTGTCATTCGACTTCAGAAAACTGAGCGATGCGACTAAGAGCAGCAGTTAAATACACTCGTTCAGACGATCATGGGCAGATAAAGATAAATTGGTAGATTTGTAACGGTAAACATTTCTATGACAAAATTTCTTACACTTGCATGCAGGACGCATCTGATTACTATTAGTTTAATATACTTATTAAGCTGCGTTGACCTTCGTTTCGATGCTACCAGTTAAAATAGTCTTTTATGAGGTTACATTGCAAGGGCGGTGGAGTACCCTCTATTCTGCAATCTGATTAGAGAAGGCTAAATGGCAAGTTCGAGACCTTCGGTCTACAAAAAACAATTGAAAATCACAGAAACCTCAGACAATGCAGAAAGTAGTCAGCGCATTATCAGTAGACCATCACTGCCTCAAAGAACGAGAAGCACAGTAACGTCTGACAGTGCTAAGATGCAATCTATCTGGAAGAACTTTCAAACCCAACTCTTTGAGTCAAAAGTACGCCAAACCATCACTCCAACAGTCAGAAGGGAGTGCAGGTACTCATAAACAAAGTTCAGCATTCACCGAAGCAACCGAATGAAACAGAATGCCGTCCAATACCTCGTTGCCGCAGCCTGCTTGAATAGCACCTGCGAATCTAGTTGTAATGCGGCGCCGTGGCAAATAACTCCTAGGTGAAATTAGGTCATATTAGCACATTCCTGCATATCACCTAGCTTAATGGTACCACAACCAAATCACGTAAAAGTCAAGGGAGAACAAAAGAGATGCATAACCACTGGCCAGAATACAAAGGTTTAAAAGCTATCTAAAAACCTTTCTACCTGTGCTCGTGTTCTACAGACCTGCAATAAACTTAGTACTTTCGGTTTTGCTAACCAATAATACGCAATTCAAGTTTGTGCCTGTTTTTTCGATGTAAAAAACCCGGATCGTCCAACCATTAAACGTGCCTTTTTTGTTTCCGGTCGAGAGAGTGTTGAATATGGCCATCCGCAGGTCCAATCCATCACGTAACCACAGGTAGTCCATCAGACTCATCAGCTGCAAGACCATCGCGTCCTGCCGAAGGTCGTCACCGCTCTGCAATAAAAAACAGTATCCATGTATAAGAACAAGAACAAATAAATACGCACCTTGAAGATAAGGTCGAAAGATAAACGAACGCTTTGGAAGCAGATGCGAAGCGGCTGATTGAGCGAATGGTAGAACTTCGACCTGCGCGCATCGACGCCAGCCAACAGCAAGCCGGGCCGGAATGGGATTCGGACGTGATGCTGAAGAAGCTCGCCGTCAAGAACGTTCAGTTCCTCCTTGAGAAGCTGCTATAAAATTTAACAATGAAGATCCGTCGCCTATCGCGTGCGGTTTCGGCCGCATATACGATTTTGCAGCTCTCCTTGGTCTCCAGTTTCAGTTTGTTCGAAATCATGTCCAGTTTTGTCAGCAGTGAACGTTGAGCGTTGAAATCGTCCCGAAGCGATGGACCGCAAAGATTCAACAGCGAGGTCTGCATCGCGTCGCAGAGGATACCGAAACATCCACCTTCCTCTTTCTTCTGTTCGAGACTCCTTAAAAGCCGTAGAGCGATGAAAAACGTATAACGTCTCGCCCATTTCTAACAAATGAATGATTACTCACCAAAGTAGCCGCATCGCAAATTCATAGTCT